ATTAGGGAATTGTTTTATTTAACATTATTTAATTGGTTTAATGTAGCGGCTAGTAGGCATATAGATGGGCTGCCTAATTTCATGTCATTTTTTTCTGACTTGAAATGATCATACACTCCCCGTGTATTATGCATTGATTAATAAAATTTTGATTACCTTTCAAAAAAAAAAAAAATTTTTGTGCAATAATAAATAATGTATCTATGAATCCATTTATAATTTTTTTAAAAATATTATGAAAAAAATTTAGTCCAACACTTTAATTTATTTAATAGACTTATTATGTATGGGAATATTATTTTAATTAAGCTGAATTGAATATGTAACAAAATAATTTAAAAATATATAATAATTAATTTATATAATTTTTAAGCGTTGCACCGGTTCGACCAGTAACCCAAGACCCACCCTGTACCTCGACCGGGTTAGGTCTAATAACTATGGCCAGAATACTAAGAACTATTTTGATGAGCTTATAGACCTATAATATATAATTTTTCTCTTGCTAGAACTACTAGAGTTGTGAATCCCATGAGTGTTGAATAAAAATCCATTTAAACCTTGTCTGTGGTTTATCTAGTAACATATAATTACAATCTACTCAGTATCTCCCTTTTAATCTAATGATTTCTTTTTGTTCAGATTGCATTTGCATTCGTCGTATACCCTTGCTTGGTAGTGCAATATATGGGCCAGGCTGCTTTTCTATCTAAAAATATTTCTTCAATCCCGAACGGCTTCTATGATTCGGTTCCTGGTTAGTTTGTTTCTAATTATGTTAAGATTGATATCGTGGTTTTCTTTTCTTAAGCCTGGTAATTTTGGATTGCCTTGCAGATAGTGTATTTTGGCCTGTCCTCATTATTGCCAGCCTTGCAGCAATTGTTGCGAGTCAGGCTATCATTTCGGCCACATTCTCTATTGTTAAGCAATGTCATGCTCTTGGTTGCTTCCCGCGCGTAAAGGTTGTTCACACCTCAAAACATATACGTGGACAGATCTATATTCCAGAGATTAATTGGATCCTCATGATTCTTACTCTTTGTATAGCTATTGGGTTTCGCGACATAACTACAATTGGAAATGCATATGGTGAGTCATAAATCTTCAATAGCATTTATTGTTTCATTTTTTATCTCGATGAGGTCATATTTTTTTTAAATTTAATTATTCATAAGATAAATGTCTCGTGTGCATCGTATACTGTTCCAATATCTACGACCATAACATAAATATTACTTAGAAAATACCGTGTTACATTACTTGAGTATTGTTGAAAGATATCAATTGCTATCGAGAATGTCTCAACTTATAATGAACTGTTGCATCAACTGAATTACAGAGCAATTATGCTTACTTATGTCTGGAATATTTTGTTTTCCCTTTTCTGATAAATCAACTTCTCATATTTTCAGCTCTTAACTAGAAGTTCTATAAATCAAGGCTCCTATGATATGGATTCATATAGTTTACCTTACAGTATGAATCTAGATTTTAATCATTTTATTATGCCATTTTCATTGATTGAATGCTAATTTTTCTCCTTTTGAGTTTCTTAAGCGTCATACAGAAAGATGAAAATTTCGAACTCTGAGCTGCTGCCCTCCCTAACCTCTCCTCTCCCAGTGAAATTCGAGAAAGAAAAGAACTTCACTTGTGGTCTTCCTAGTGAAATTGTGCTTGCTCCTAAGAATTATGCATAGTTCTGATTATCAATAATTATGTACATGAATGTAATGTACTCGATCCCTATTATTGTTTTTCTGTTTACTGTATAAGCAAGAAAAAGAAATTGCATAAAAGAGAAAAAAAAAGGAGAAAGGGATTTGTCTTCGATTGTGGAGAATGGTGACTGGTAAATGAAATGAGATACACAAGTATATGCTAACAAAAACAAAAAGAACTACAAGACTATAACGTCTTATTAGCAGGTTCTGATTACAAGCACAGCATCTTCTTTTTCTGCAATTTATTATAAGATAAATTGCATTTTCTTAAGAGACTCATACTTCTACTGTAAAAAGACTTATCTGACAACTTGTTCAGCTGTGGATCATTTTCATGGTGTAGAACATTTCATTTTTGTAAATGATTTTTTCCCTGTTAATTCAGTATGTTCTTCAGTTTCTATTATCCTTTTGGAATAAATAATACGTGCTTCTGAAATCTATTTACTTGTTATCAATCATTTCTTATATTGAAGCTTCTTTTTACCAGGCCTTGCTTGCATGTCGGTAATGTTTATTACAACTTTTCTCATGGCACTTGTCATGGTCTTTGTATGGCAAAGAAGTATTGTACTCGCTGCTGCTTTCCTCCTTTTCTTTTGGTTCATCGAAGGTGCTTATCTATTAGCTGCATTTACAAAAGTTCCTCAGGGAGGATGGGTGTCCCTTGTACTGTCTTTCATCTTCATGTTTATCATGTTTGTTTGGCACTATGGAACTCGCAAGAAGTACAACTTTGATCTATACAACAAAGTGCCAATGAAATGGATCCTTGGCCTCGGCCCAAGTCTTGGCATTGTCCGTGTGCCTGGGATAGGCCTCGTATATTCAGAGCTCGCAACAGGAGTACCTGCAATCTTCTCACATTTTGTCACAAATCTCCCAGCTTTTCATAACGTTTTGGTGTTTGTTTGTGTAAAATTTGTTCCAGTGCCCTATGTCTCTCCCGAGGAACGCTTCCTCATTGGCCGCATCGGCCCACGACCCTATCGCATGTATCGGTGCATTGTGAGATATGGTTACAAAGACTTACAGAAAGATGATGAGAACTTTGAGAACCTTCTAATTCAATGTATAGCAGAGTTTATCCAAATGGAAGCTGTAGAGCCTCAGTTTTCAAGCCCAGACGCTGCATCATATGACGGGAGAATGGCAGTCATAAGCTCCCGGACTATTCAATCCAGTTCGACTCTAATTGTGTCAGAGTCTGAGGATTTTGGTTCGATTAGTTCCATTCATAGCAGTAAATCTTTGACTCTCCAAAGTTTAAGATCTGCCTACGGTGATGAGAACCCACCAATCAGAAGGCGTTCAGTGAGGTTTCAGGTACCACACAACCCCGGGATGGATCCTGCAGTAAGGGAAGAACTCTTAGACTTGATCCAGGCAAAAGAAGCTGGCGTTGCTTATGTATTAGGACACTCTTATGTGAAGGCAAGAAGATCATCTTCATTCCTGAAGAAATTTGTGATTGATATCGGCTACTCATTTCTTCGTAAGAACTGCAGGGGTCCGTCTGTGGCTCTTCATATTCCTCATATTAGCCTGATTGAAGTAGGCATGATATATCATGTCTAGGGATTTGTTCACTGTAAGTCTTTCCTTCATGGCCTTTCTAGGCTCGTCTTTACAGGTAATTTGTGGTAATGCAACAGCCCAAGATGCCATGTCGGCTACTTATGAACTCGTCTTTTCATGTATATGCACACAACTCTTAACTAAGAAGTATATCTTGTGTTGCTCAGCATTAAATGTGTTGAGCCTTGTTTTTGAGTGTGGATTGAACATAGATTTATGCTTTATTGTTGCAATTCACTATTTCTGCATCAGCTTTGGTCATAGGTGAGCGATCAAAAAATTCAAATGCAGCAACTATCGCCCCTCCTAGCACCCCTCGAGTTCATTTCTCAGTTAAAATATTCACGTTCTATACCTCAATATAGATTTTTCATATTACTTATTGTGTTTTCGTGATTACTTTTGAGATTGAAAAGGTTGTGATAGTCTCTCTGTTTATGATGTAATGAGTAGTCCGTATTTAGTTTTGATAAAAATTAATTTTTTAGTAAATTTTGATAAAAATTAGTGAAATATATGGTTGAAAAGTTGATTTTTTCATTTTAAGTAAATTTCATGAAATACGTGATTGAAAATGAGTTAGAGATTTTAAGAAATGGGCGCTACATGCTTATTTCAATCTTTCATTTTTATTGTACTTACTTATGGTCTTATTCGATAGTTTTCATATAATTTGCTATAAAAATGGCTACACACATAATTCCAATAAAAAACAATTTAAAACTAATTAAAAAAAAGAGGAAACCAATGACATCTTTTTTTTCCCTATTATTTATGTATTTCTTTTCTAAAAAATATTCTCTATACAAAAATCAGATTATGTAGGTTAAGAAATATATATATATATATATATATATTTATTAAATGTGTAAAAGTAGAAGAAAACGATTTCTTCCTAAAGCTTAAACCAAAAATGCTCGCACTTGGCATCCAAATTTCCAAATTGGTTACTTCTAAGCACAATCAAACATTCTTTCTCTGAAAGATTGAGAGTTTTAGGCAGAAACTCTAAGAAGGTATTTTAAGAACAATAACAAAAAGGTCGAATGGGGCAATGATCATAATTTATGTGGAAGTATTATTGTCTATGATGCTAACGAAAAATAAATATCTAATAATCCGAATAGAATTCGACTATAATATTTTTCGAATATAAATGACGTACTTCCTTCAGTAACTATTGTGACAATATTATCGATAATGTCTTCAACAATCATTGACGGTATCTTTATCGATGACCACCAAAGGGGAAGTTGGTGTCAAACTAATGACATTTCATGTAATGAAACAATTCTAAAAGTTAAATGTATCAATGTTTTGTTAATTTCAGTTATCTATCTATCTATCTATTATTATTATTATTATTATTATTATTATTATTTTTGGGTTTTGCTGTGTCAACTGACACCTCGATGTATAGTCCTCTCACATTGGGAGTCTATGCTTACACTGTAAAAAAAAAAACGGTCCGCGCAGTGCGGAGCAGCGCAGTGCGGAGCATTACTCTCCGCACTGTGCGGAGTTGATGCTAAGCACAATTCGGACAATTTTTTTTTTTTTTTTTGTCGAGATTCAAAGTCAACAATTGTGGGTATGGGTAGAAGAAAGTCCATATTACCCTTAAAGTTTGGATGAATAGTGGAGAATGAATATAGATAAGATGGGATACAAAAAAATTCACAAATAATTAGTAAACTGTTGAATCTTCAACCTCTTGTATTAATTGCCTTTGAATCTTGTGCTAGCCTCTTCCTTGTGGTGAAAAATAGGATTTTGATGTGTTCTATGTAGTTCACGCCGTTGTCCCCATGAGAATATGTTAAATTTGGTTTATAAGAAGTTGGATAAAAACAAGGAATTTGGGCCGTTCAGGCCTAGAAATAGCCTGTGCGCGTGTTGGATAGTTCCTTGCACGAGTGCCGTTCATATGTTTTGGGTTCGATAAATAAACCTCATGCTCGTGCGCGCGCGACGTTATAAACTTTTCCATTTATTGCACTTTGGATATCTTCACCAGTTGAATATTAACAATGCATTCATCCACGGTGAGCTTGATGATGTGTATACATGATGATGCCTAAGGGTTATGAGTAGCGGGGGGGAAGTCTGGGGAGAAACTTGTATCCAGATTGAACAAGTTCATTTAGGCAGACATCTAGGCAATGGAACACTAAGTTGACCTCATACATTATTTTGCAAGGTTTTACACAGTCAAGGTCTGATTATTCCCTATTTAGCAGACAAAATATCCACACATGACAAAACTATTGAATTTTACATATTTGAATTTTTCAGAAATTTGAATTTTTTAATTTTTATAGATTTTTTCGCTGGTCCGATAGCAACAGAATTCTTGTATGGATTAAGAGATCAATTTACATCAAAATTGCATTAACTGGAATGTGTAAATTACAATATATATATATATAAAGAAATGATCTAATGAGCACCGGTGCTCATCTTATCCTAAACACCGATGAGTTGGCACATTAATTCATTGGTGGATAAAGATTTTGTGAGTTCTAATCCACCAATAAATTAATGTGCCAACTCATTGGTGCTTAGAATAAAATGAGCACCGGTGTTCATTAAATCATTTTTG